TGGATTGTGGGACTGCGGGGCTTGGGGAACCTGGAGAGAAGCTCTCCAGCAACAGGCAAGCCTGAAAGGGGTTAGGAATTAGGTTTCCATGAGGGGAAGAGAGTCAGTTCCTCTGAGACCTTCTGATAACTTGCTTGGCACACTCCTCAGAATGGTTCCCGAGAGCCCTGCACCCAGGGTCACCGGTCAGGGTCACCTCTGGGACAAGCTCTTCAAGGACCAGAGCACATGCTCATGCAGGCGGAAGCAGGAAGCAGTTGGCACCTAAGAAGAACAGGCAAGTGACTTGGAGTGGGCCACTGTGAGGGGTGGAACCCCAACTGACGGCTACAATCACCTCTACTCTACCTATACTCCCTTCTCAGAAACACTTGCCAAGCAGGCCAGTTCTTTGCCCTGGATCTAGTCTTAAAGAGTAAAATGTCCTCTTTGAACTGGAAATACCAAATTAGCAGGAGCTTCAGAATTGCCCAAGACTCTGGGTTCAAGCTCAGCACCAAGGACAAAAGCTCTAGGTACTCAACAACCCCTATAAGGTCCTTGTAGTTATGAGGGTCCCACACATGTCTGTACAAGTCTCCAATAGACATGGTTATGGAAGAGCATGTGCATGCATTTGTGTGTGTGGATGTGTGTGTGTGTGTGTGTGTGTGTGTGTGTGAGAGAGAGAGAGAGAGAGAGAGAGAGAGAGAGAGAGAGAGAGAGAGAGAGAGAAGCAAGGCAAAAGGCAGTCCTCCAGAGCAGTCTCGCAGTTTTCAAATCTTCTATACAAGATTATAAACAGTTTGGTGATTTCAGTCGAGTGTTGATTCCAAGACCCTGGGGGAAACTTCGCAGCATCCCCTCTTTATCTCAGCAAACCCTCGGAGGCATAAAAAGCCCTGTTCTGGCCATTGTTCTCGTGTTTGGACGCTTTCAGAATGTTGTTGCTTTTAGAGTAAAGCAGCCCAGCACTTTGACACGTTTTCTGTGTTCAGTTCGCACATATAGCAAGACACTAAAATAGAAAGTCTGTTCGGGCACAAAGACACCAGCACTCACCCGCCAAGATGAGGCACCAAAACATCCTGCAGGATTTAGACGAGAGGACACTAGTTTTGACTCTTGAACTGCTTGCTCATGGTGATGAAATGGCTCAGAGTTTGAGGATAAATGCACATGTGGACAGAGTTTCTGGTGCTCTGTGGCAGAGACAGGACAGTGGGGCTGCCATAGAAAGCTTATGAAGGGGGGCTTCAACTCATCCATCGTGGGACCTCACTATGATGCATTCCTTGTGAAGTTTAGAAAACACACGAGGCTGGTTCCCCTCTAGAACATTTAGAGAGTAAGTAATAGGCTGACCACGGGCTCTGACTATGGAATAAAAAGAGGTCAAGAGGACAGGGCTAGGGACACTCACATTTCCCAAGGTCATTCCAGCAGAGGGTGTGAAAGTGTATAGCCAGGTGTGAGCCGTGTCTAAGAAAGGAAGGAACGCCTCAGATCTGTCCCTAGGTCTGGTGATATTTTATTTGTGCTGAAATGTGGTGATATTTTGTGTGTGTGTGCTTTAATAAATAAAGCTTGCCTAGAGATCAGAGGAAAAAGCCAGCCACAACACAGAATTCATGTAATGTTAGCACACGCCTTTAATCCTACCACTTGGCAGGCAGGATCTCTGTGTGTTCAAGGCCACACTGGAAACAGAGCCAGGTGTGGTGGCACACGCTTTAAATTCCAACACTGGTTAGCCTTGGAGGTCTGTACCAACAAACAGGAAGTGACGGAACTGGGCAGGAAGAGGGAGTGATGAGGCTGAACGGAGAGAGCAAATCAGATGGCAGAACAGCAAGGCATATAGGCATGGGTAGACAGGAAGTCATGGCATTTGGAAGCTGCAGAGTTGTGAGGTAAGGTTAGCTGTGGCTTTCCCTATTTCCCTGATCTCTCTCGGGCTTTCACCCCTATATGTGGCTCCGTGTTTTTTATTTAATAAGACCGTTTAGAACTTCATCTATACCTAGGGTTGTGTTGAGGGATAGACAGACCCCAGAGGAACACTCCAGGTCTCACCAGTTCCTAGAGGCTGAACAGAGGGATCTGTCCTGGGAGGCAAGCTATGAGGAAGACATCCTCGGAGGAAGGAAAGATCACCACAAAGGGCCTCTGAAAAGCAACATCTAACATTTGCCCAGAAAGAACGTTAAACAGTCAAGAAAAAAAAAACCCCAGCCCCATACCACTTCTCATGCCTGGATCTCCAATTTTGTTTTCTGTTTTTCTGTTTTGTTCTGAGAAGAGGCCTCACTATGCAGTCAAGGCTGCTCCTAGAAGCAGGATTTTCTTGCCTTAGCTTCCTAAGTGGTGGGATTATAGGTGTGTTCAGAATTAGAACATACGGATAATAAATGGAGAACTATTCACAGCTGGTCATATACCCTCCTCCCCACCTTTTTTTTTTTTAAAACTACTTCTCACAAATCCTAAGCTAGTAGATGAGAGAAAAACTAATTTTAAAGTAAAATGTTGTGGAGTGTGTATTCATGCATTTTCCATTACAATAACAAAATACCCAAAGCTGGATGTTTTATAAAGAAATGAAGCTTATTCAGTTCACAATTCAGGAAAGTCGATGTCCAAACAGCATAGTGCTGGTTCTGGCAAGGACTCCCTTGGCTACAGCATACCATGATGGAGCCCATGCACCCGGGAGAGATCACTTAGGAGTTACGGAGCCAGAGTGTGGGAAGGAACATGTCTGGTCATTCCCCTCTAAACCCCACCTCTGAAAGAGTCTGCCACTCACGTCACCACATGGACAATGGAGCTCCAACACATAAGCCTTTGAAGGACATGTTCAAACCACAGCAGGGATGGGATAGTTTAATTGTTAAATTTATATTGTGTGGTTTAGGGCTGTGTTACTTCCTGTGGCCAGAACACCATGGAGTTGGCTCTCACCTCCACCTGGGGCAGAGGAAGCCTTATACTGCCTTGAGCAGATGAGGGAGAAGACACAGTGGAAAACCAAAATAGTTTTGCTTTTTAATTCTATTTGCTGAGTCATGTTGGTTGGGCATGATGAGTGTTATGAATTTGCACGAGTAGGCAACCCACCGCTGGCCGGGCTGGAGGATCCCACGCGTGCAGGGAAAGATGGTGGGCAGGGCCGAGGTGCATGCAAAGTCATCCACACCCAGGTGCTGCTGCATCCATGTGGAGAGTTTATTATAATAGAGGGATGAAGAGAAAGATAGGAAAGAGGGAGACAAGATAGATAAGGCTGGGAAAGCAGAGGTGTGCACACCTCGTGGGAATGGAGCAGGAGGGGGAGAGGGAGGGGGAGGGAGGGGAGGAACTTTTCCTTAAAATGAGCTTTTCACATCAGGACACAGGGCCGCCCCAAGGGGCAGGATTTCAAGGGTCGAGTTGGAATATTAACAATGTGAAGCCATATTTCCAGTACGGGGAGATATTCTAGTGTCCAAGGAGAGAGTGGGCGATGGCTTCTGAGTCAGAATCCCAGAGGAGTTCACTAGAGAGGTAAGATGGCCTCTATAAATAGGCCAGTGCCCACAGCATCCATGAGCCACAGTCAGGAGGTCTCCATTGCTGCCCACTCAGTAAGAAGAGAATCTGACCAAAAATGGAAATAAGATTCTCTGCTAAAAGACCATGGAGGAAGGTGGCTGTTACTACCTTGCCATCGGGAGTACCAAAGTCTACTAAAAATCCATCAGATACATTACAGAGTCTGCCCAGTGACGAATCACACAGAGAGCCTGGAGAATGGTTGTGGGTATTTCAGTAAACAGAGTCTTTGGGGAACCCTTCTTGCCTCTCTGCTCCAAGCCTAGCCTGTGTGATGCTGGAGCCGAGACTCTGCCAACCACGATTCTGCTTTGCCAGCTGGCTCTGTGGGAACATCTTCTCCATGGTAAGGATGTGGCGGGCAGAGGAAGGAAGGACTGGTTCCCTTCTGTCTGCTTCCTGTGGATTTCTGCTCCTGCCAGGATCACCTTAGCCTCCTCTCTGTGGCCTGCCGTGAGAGCATCTGTCATGGCAGTTTATACTTTTCCCAACACTTGCAGAATCAGCCTCGCCATGTCCCTGTTCCAGGAGACGCCCCGTCCCATGAACCCCTCTCCAGCTCAGAGACGGTAGCCACAGCTTTGGGTTGTTACATTGGAATGATTCCCACCTCTCCCCATGATTCCCACCTCTCCCCATGCCCAGCCCTCAGGGTAGAGGTTGCTTCCTGGAGCTCTCCAGCAGCGGGACTTTGGGTCCCCTCTGATGCTTACCTGGTTAATAGCTTCATTCTTGTCAATATGTCTTGTCCCCTCTCTCTTCAGATACCTGATGATATTTCCTGTCAGCTGACTGGCTCTTGACTAAGAGGCTTCTTGATGAAAGCTGAAGAACTGGATTAAAAAGAGAAATTAGTCGGGCCTCTGTGGGAATCGGGAGTGGCTTGCCTGCCTGTCTTCCTTCCTTCCTTTTTCTTTTCTGGGCTGGAGACTGGACTCAAGGTCTTTACAAGGCAAGCTTTAGCACTAAGCTGCACCCCAGCCCGTAACTCGGGTTCCCAATGTGTTTTTGAGAGATTGGAACTCCCAGAGAAACTGAAAACAAGCTTCACCCTGGGAAATCCATATACCTATCACTCACCCCCAACCCCTGTCCACACGTTACACACAGAGCTAGGGCTTGCGGTGGTTCACAACCTGGGGGTCCAATGACCCTTTCACAGGGGTCGCCTAAGACCATCCCAAAACACAGATATCTACATTACGATTCGTAACAGTGGCAAAGGTACAGTTATGAAGTAGCAACGAAAACCATTTATGGTTGGGGGTCATCACAACGTGAGGAACTGTATTAAAGGGTCTCAGTGTTAGCAAGGTCACCAGTGGTTTGGTGGCTCCCTGAGGCCAGGCCGTAGGTAATTCTGCAGTAAAAAGTTGTCTCGGCAGTCTGCATCTTGAAGAAAACCTTCTTGGCTCTCAAAGGCTATCGCCCAAGCCTGGGAAAGTTGAGCAGAAGTTCCGTCAGCGCTAAGTTGCCAAGTTGCTGTCCTAGATTTTTCAAAGTCCTTGAACTTGAGATAAAAATCCTCAGTGTGGACCTGCCAACCATTCAGGTTTGTAGCTGCTCACATATCTAAAGCCTTCAAAATGCGGCTTTTTTAGCAAGCACCGCTTTCCTCGTGGGGCCCAGCCAAGAGAAATGAGGCAATCTAAGGCAAAGCCCTGTTTTCTTGGCTCTCCTTCCTCCAGGCTGCTGGCTGATCAGGCCAGGTCCCAACCTTTGCTCTCTGAGTCCTTCAAAGCTGCCTAGAGCATAGTCCTGGAGAGAGGGAGAGGGAGAGGCGTCGCCACCTCCTGGCCTACCCTATTGCTGCATGCCGAATCCCAGAAAGGAAGTAAACTCCAATTTTAAATGTGGCTTTTCGTAAAGAGGACTACAGTGCTTGAGGAAGACACCGTCTCTGGGCCTCAAATTTTCCATTTTAAAATCAACACTGTTATCCTTTATGATCTCACTTCCCTGCTAAGTTTTTTCGTGTTCAACGGAGCATGGAGGATGGAGGCGCCTCTTTGTGTATCCACAGTGTGAGCAGCCACCACACATCCCTACAAGGCCATCTTATTCATTTCTTGGGTAAATATTACTTGGACATTGCTCAAGCTTCCAAGGATTGATGTCTTCTCTGCTAATTCAAGAAGGCTTCGCTGTTTCGCTCATTTCCTCCACGAAATGACTCACCCCTTTGACACGTTTTTCTTGCTTGCTCTGGGCCAGAAACTTCCCGATGTGAAGGCAACAGCAGCAGACGAAGCAGAAGTATGCCCATCCCCCCTCCCCACCCCCCTACCCCCCCAGGAGGTGCTGCCCCGCTGGAGGAAGTGGCACACAATTGAAACATGTAGGTCAGCCGAACCAGGTCACCGGGAGAGAGGTAACTGGTCGGCGCTGCTAGAGGAGAGAAATTACAGCCGTTTGTCTGCCGGTGGGTCGGCTCAGGAAAGTGGGGGAAGGGATGAGGTGGGAGAGGAGAGGAGCGAATTGGTAGAATGATGCCCTTGAATAGGGGAGAGGCCCTGGCATCCAGTTCACCTATGAGGAGAGAGGGTTAGTCAGATGTGCTCCTGCCAAGTCCTGGGTGCTGAATGGGTGTTGGAGATACAATGGGGAAAGGTGATGATGTTCTTACTGTCCTGTAGGTGTTGCTCTCACTAGGGAAACAGACAAAAAAAAAAAAAAAAAAAGACGCAAATTCATACTGCAGCATGACAGCCGTGGCCTGGGATGTGTGCTATGGTGCTGGTAGTGGCAATAGTTTTTAAGACGACTCTGCAATCGGGTGGGTTGGAGAATTGACTGAGATAGGATCTCATGTAGCCCAGGCTAGCCTCACACTCCGCGATGGAGCTGAGAATGACCTTGAACATCAGATCCTCCTACCTCCACCTCCTGAGACTGGGGTTTAAAGGAATGCACAGCCCCTCCTGATTTATCCGGTGCTGAGGATAGATCCCCCGGCTTTGCGAATGCTAGGCAAGCACATCGCGTTCCAGCCTGAGTCTTAATGTATGACAAGGAGACAGATGCTCATACGAAGAGCCTTCGGGAAGAGGATTTCAAGCAGAAAGAATAACAACTCCCAGCCCCCCTCGGGGTGAGAGCTTGGCCCTTCTTGCCAGAGAGGAGGTGATTCTGTAAGCATGGAGCCATCTGGGAGGGCAAAGTGAGAGATAGGTTACAGAGTGGTCATTGATGGCCTTTTTTTAAACAGCCAATAAATTTTATGGGCAAATTCTTAGATAACTCAAGGCTAGAAAGGACAGCTCACACTGTTAAATGGGGAAAACAGAATTTAAAAAAAAAAAAACATTCCTACAGATAGTGCATAACAAATCTCAATGTCATAGTTTGCATTTGAACTCAAAAAAATCAATGGTAAAAGAACAATGTAGGAAGGTCAAGTGTACCACTGCTCTTACAAGGAAAAATATCCGCGTTTCTGAAAAGTAGAGCCTAGGACAGCAGAGCGATAAGAACTCATAGCTTAGCAATTATGGCTGGAGTGCCGGGCTTGACATCCCTTCTCATGGGGAATGTGGTCCTAGGAGCAGAAATGAGGGAGTTGAGGGGAGGGCGTAGAGGCAGGAAGGAGCCAATGCAGATCTGTGTTGTTAAGTTAGCTATGTCCATAGCCAATGTGGAGTTCAAGCCCGTGTGCAAGCATCTCGGCGCAACCTGGAGGGCAAAGGCATGGACCCAGTTCTCACTGCCCCACAGGGGCTTCTCAGTGATGCCTCTGCCACGGTGGTCCTATCCACAGTGTCACTCAGAGTTCTCCCTACCCAGAACCAGAGACAATTGGAATAAGAGGTGAGCCTACACCTCTGAAGTGATTCTCAGGGGTGTCTGATAAATAAGTAGTGATGAAAGATGATCTCTCCTCTATCTTTGGAGTCGTGTGTGTGTGTGGGGGGGGGGTGTGCATGCATGTGTGTGTGCCTGCGTGTGTGTTGGCTTACCCCATATGCACATGTGGAGGCCAGAGGTCAAGGTGGGTGTCTTTCTCAGTCACCCTACACCTTATTTTCTCAGGCAGGGTCTTTCACCAAACACAGAGCTCACTGTTTCTCCTAGACTGTCTGGCCAGCAAGCCCCCAGGGCCCCACCGGTCTCTGCCCCCAACCACAGGGGTCATAGAATATCTTCACATTTCTGTGGCTTGCAGCAATAGAGTAGCTGCTGAGCTGGGCTCTTTCGAGGGTACCGGGATCCGAACTCAGGTCCTCACATTTGCACAGGAAGCCTCTTCTCCTCAGCTCCTCTGAGATCATGTATTGAGATCTCAGAGTCGCACAAACACAGGGAAAGCATGATGCTCTTCACACATGCAGAACATGTGTCTCCATTACCAAGTGAGACTGCCCATTGTCCATGGTGGGGGAAATGCTTTTCCAAAGCTGGGCGTGTATGAAAATGTCATGATGAACAACTGTTGGGTTTTTTTTTTCCTCACTAATACACTATTTTTTTCAAAAGCTGGGCATGGTAGCACACACCCATAATCTCAGTACTTGGGAGCCTTAGGAAGAGGATCCCAAATTACAGACCATCTTGGGTTACATAGCAGGACCTTGTCTCCAAATAAATAAATAAATAAATAAATAGTAAATAGACTGCTATTATGTTATAAACAATTGTTTATCTTTGGTGATAAAATATACTTGATTATGAAGTATAAAGTTTGGAAAATATATTATTTCTATTATTATAATTCACCCCACCCTCTCTCTGTCTTTTTTAAAAAATTAAAATAGAGGCTAAGAGATGGCTCAGAGCACTGTCTGCTCTTCCAAAGGACCTGGGCTTGATTCCCGGCATCCTCATGGTGGCTCCCAATTGTTCCAGAGCATCTGATGCCCTCTTCTGACCTCCACAACCATGAGGGGCACACATGATGCACAGACATACATGTAGGCAGAACACTCATATACATAAAACAATACAATAATTTTTAAAAATTAAAAAACAATGAAAGTAGTCTTTGCAATTCTTGATCTCTCCAAGTCTTGCCAGCTTGGAGAAAGTGCTGCTTCTAGAAGTTCTACAGCAACCCCCGCACCCACCCCACCCCCACCCCCATTCTGAGGGCTCAGCATGTCTACAGCTTTCTCCTGCACAGAGAATGTAAAAAGGCACGGACTGGCAGTGAGCAAGGAACCCTGGTCCTTGTCCAGCTCCGGGAATGTTTGTAGATGCCGCCCCAGGCACTCAGGGATCACATTTTTCACACCACAAAGGGCTCGTGGACCCTGTGTGAACTCTTGCTGTGCGGAGTCAGGGGAATCAGGCCTCTGTTGAATCCCAGGAGTGCCTTGTCTGCGGCTCTACAGTCTTTCTATTTTTCAGGCTATTTCAAGTTCAAGGTCGCAGGCTGCTGTCTCTCCTGTTTTATCCCCCACAGCACTACAATGGTGCCTTTGGGGGAGGCCCCACTGTAGCTGGAGGCCCTGTGAAAGTCGGGGGAATGTTATCTCTTGCCTGCAGGTGCAAAGCTAACTGGCTATGACTGATGCACCCCCTGTTCCCTTCCTCGGTTCCCTCCTGGGCCTCTTAGTTTCTAGGTAGGGAGAGCCAGCATGAGTAGTTCAGAAAAGCATACGCTTGAGGAAAAAATCAACCAGGACTGCAGTCCAAAGAGAGAGAGCAAGCCCCACCACTCCGGAACCAAAGGGTCTCTCCTCCACAGAGTGGAGTTTCCGGGCCAGCCCTCAGTCTGCCATCCCCAACAGGACTCGATGTCCTTGGCCTGTACGTGGCCGCCCTTGCACAGTGCTTATGGTAATTTGTTCTAGAGGTAGGTGTTCCCCATTCCTGTGGCCACCTCCTTCCTCAGAGC